TGATTGGCCCAAAGTCACCCAGCCATCTTTCATGCCTAAGGCGGGACTAGAACTCTCAGTCTCCTAGTGATTGGCCCAAAGTCACCCAGCTGGCTTTCATGACTAAGGCAGGACAAGAACTCAGAGTTTCCCCGCTTTCTAGCCTGATGCATTAACCATAAGACCAAACTGGCTCTCCACACCAGGAGTCTCCAACCTTGGCAACTTAAAGATCTGTGGACTTCAACTCCCAGAATTCCTCAGCCAGCTTTGAAGTCCACAGGTCTTAAAGTTGCCAAGGTTGGAGTCCCCCGCTTTACACTTTCCTTCCATTACTTCTAGTTTTCTCCTTTGGAGCCAGTAATCATTCAAGCACATAACCAAGATTCCACATCTACCAAGATCAGAGGTAGCTCATTAGTCGTTCCCACCCCTAAGATACCTGAAGGATTTGGTTGCCTTCTTGGATGCCTTGCGTCTCAGCCGGGCTGCCCTCCTGCACGCCAGACACAAATATCCCAACGTCATTTCCACCAGTAAGAAGGAGCCCGATGCTCTTGGCTTTGACAAAACGCACCACCTTCAAATCGGGGCTGTACCTGCAAAAACAGAATGTGGTTCAAATCCACAGTCTTGTGTCTGGATTCTGCCATGCCAAAAAGAGTCTGCCACTGTGGAGCTTACCCTGAAATCCTGTCATTTTGCATCATGGAATTATTTCCTTGGAAATTGTACTCATCGGTGGGGGATTCCTCGGGATCTAGAAGAGGGTAGAAAGAACCCACGGAATCATTTATTTATCATATTTATTTATTTATCATATGGCACATTCACCTCACATTTTGATAACAACACAAGAGATAAAAATATGCAGTAAAAAGTAAAGGTTCTCCTCGCACATACTTGCTAGCCGTTTCAGGCTCTAGGGCAGTGGTCCCCAACCTTTTTTGTACCAGGGACCAGTTTCAAGCACAAACACTTTTTCAAGGACCGGGGGGGGGGGAGAGAGAGAAGAATCCGAGTTTGGTGGTTTGCTTGCAGACGTTTCATTACCTGACTAGGTAACATCTGATGTTGTTACCTAGTCGGGTAATAAAACGTCTGCCAGCAAACCACCAAGTTCAGGGAGCGCCTTGGCCCTGCCTCCCTCAGCCCCATCCCTCAGGTGTCTCCCTCCCTCCCCCAGGTGTCTCCCTCCCTCCCTCAGGTGTCTGCCTCGTTCCTCTCTCAGTCGCTCTCTCGCTGCTCCACCAGCCCAGG